TTTATAATTAGCATTTTTTAAGTTTAAAAAAGAAAGGAAATAAAAAATACAGATGTAAAAATCAGCATCACATCTTCCAGCATATAACAAGGATGTAGCTTTTTGTCCATAGCCAATAGACAAAGGTAGCATTTCACACAGCAACGGTTGTCAAGTTTAGGCCTCCAGATTTTTGCGTGGAACTCAACAGCATGTCAAGTCTTGGCACTGAGTATTTTCCCTAATGTGTTTAGTTATAGGAGCATATGTATATGGCTGAGGGTAGGAGACACAATGATTTCCTCTCTTTTCTTTTGAAAATTACAAAAATCAGGAGTAGGGTGCTTTGCAAGGTACCACTTTTCAGTGCTGCTCCTTCCTGGGGCATTTATTTTGCTAATATCCTCCTCTCTCCAACCCCAGACACTTCATATGGTCTGTGGCGTCTTTCACCCAGCTACAGTAATCCACAAAAGGAAAAAAGAAGTTGTGGATCGCTTCCTTGTATAGCAATAGAGTGTCTGTTCCTTTTGGCCTGGGAGCAGCAAGGAGTCCGGGCCCAGGGGAGAGGAGAGCTTGGTTCCTCACACTCGAGTCTTGGCCAACTCCTCTAGACCACTAGTTGCACCGCAGTTAGTTCCATTAAGTAGAAATAAATTGTAAACTTGTTGACATTTTTGTCCTCTTTACAATTCATTGTTTAGTTTTCCATAGCAGAGAATTCTGATGCAATTATCACTGAGCTTTCTGACAAAAGGGAAGTAGCTGAGGAATTTTGATGAGTTACCCACTTCATTAATCAGAACAAGCATCTCTAGTGACAGGGTTAAAATTACAATGAAGATTAGATAGCAAATTGCTGTTCCACCCAATGTCAATCACTCCCAGTGACAGTGGTGTGATTACACTTCAGGGAAGAGCCTTCTTGCCAACACAAGGAGGGCAACTTGAGTGCAGGTAATAAATTTGGCAGGGTGAACTATCATTTCTTCTCTTGAGCAGAATCCTTAATGACTAAATGATGTCTTGTAGCAGACTTTGAGAGGAGAAAAGCATTTCACTTAAAAAGTTTCTAAATTTCATTTTGTATTTTATTTTCGAAATTATTATAGATATGTACTCGGGAACAGTCTTTCCCACAGTGATTTCCAGTATTTTATTGACCTGTATGAAGCCTTATTTATCACCACAACTATGTAAAGAGATGTGGAAGTTAGTAAAAGAATGCATTACTATGCAGAGGTAGGCAAAAGTAGTTTTAAAGTTGTGAGTATGTGAAACATGGAGTTTATTCTTGCATTATTATTTATTTGTTAATTATATTATTTATTATTATTATTATTAACCTGCTTTTGCCCATCCCTGTATTTGAAAATCTATCAGAAATAAAAACATGGTGCAGAGGAAACTGAAGCTAGTAAGAATGGAGAGAGGTCAGACTGGTTGTCCAGCTAGTTAAAACATTAAGTTCTGTCTTCAACAGAGTATATATCTCTTCCAACCCAATTGTGGTTTTAAATACTAGTTCTGTTTCAAAGAGCTAAGAGATAAAGCACTATTATAGTTCTGGAGTGTAGAACCAAAGAGGAGAAACTGACCTGGGAGAGCAAGAACTTATAATAGAAAGGATGTAGATCATGACTATGAATGTGTGCCGCTTCTCGTCCCTTCTGAATCAGTGCTTGCATCTCCCAGAGGAGACAGAGAGTATTTTCCTTTCCCAAATGTTTTCCTTTAAGCAATTTGTGGGGCTCCTGTTTGCCTGAATAATGTTTGCTGTGAGTCAAGAATAACCAATTAGCTATTCTTCATTCATACTTTTATTTTTTTATTAAAATTTTAATGGGATTGCATTTTTTAGTAGGCAGGATAAGAACTAATAGCAAGCTGCCCGGCTGGTGTTGCTCAATGGTTGAGCATCCTATGAGCCAGGAAGTCACAGTTCGATTCCCAGTCCGGGCACATGCCCGGGTTGTGGGCTCAATCCCCAGTAGGGGGCGTGCAGCCAATCAACAATTCTCTCTCCTCCTTGATGTTTCTATCTATCTCTCCCTCTCCCTTCCTCTCTGAAATCAATAAAAAAACAATAGCAACCTGATGTTAAGAAAGCTGCCATTTGACACAACATGGATGGGTCTTGAGAATATCAGGCAAAGTGAAATAAGTTAGACAGAAAAAGTTAGGAACCACATGATTTCACTCATATGTGGAATATAAAACTGAAAGCAACAAATGAACAAACAAGATAATCAAACAAAAACTCATAGACGCAGATAACAGTATGGTGGTTACCAGAGGAAAAGTACATGGGTGGGGGGTAGTAAAGAATAAAGGGGGTCAAATATATGGTGATTTGACTTTGGTTGGTAGGCACCCAATGCAATATACAGATGTTGTATCATTGAATTGTACACTTGAAACCTATATAATCTTACTAACCAATGTTACTCAATAAGAAAGGGAGGGGCAACATTAGCCCTCCGGACAAAAAAGAAGTCTGTCACTTTCCTGCTATTAACTTCTGTGTAGTGAAACGGAATTATAGACCTTTAAAACTGATCATTTTGCTATCTAAATCTACACTTAAGTATTTTAAAAGAAATAGATTGACTGTAGAATTCATTCTTTTAAATTCAGATATGTTCTAGCCCTAACTGGTTTGGCTTAGTGGATAGAGCGCTGGCCTGCAGACTCAAGGGTCCCAGGTTCGATTCTGGTCAAGGGCATGTACCTTGGGTGTGGGCACATACCCAGTGGGGAGTGTGCAGGAGGCAGCTGATTGATGTTTCTAACTCTCTATTCCTCTCACTTCCTCTCTGTAAAAAAATCAATAAAATATATATTTTTTTAAATTCAGATGTTCTAGCAGTGCTTTTCTAACCCTAGTAAGTTATATATCAAGTTCTTTCTCTTTCAGCATTAAAAAAAAAAAAAGCAAAGAACATGCCTTCCTTGTGAGGAGAGACTTTTTGTCTAAGAGAGTAAGGTCGTCAGGATGCCAGAGTGTTTCCATGTTAGCCGTAGGTGTACCACTAACTCTTTACTTTGTGAATTTAGTCATTAGCCCTTCTCTACTTGAAGTTCAGCTTGGTAAGGTAAAGTATAATGATATCTGCAGTCTCCATTTTGTAATGATGGTCTACGAATTAATAAAATAGGACATGTAGGGTGCTTTGAACTTAGAGAGAAAAGGTATGTAGAAATCTAAGAAGGAAACTATTAGTAAATAGTGTTATTGTCAAAGTGGATTATGTTTGTGCTATTTCATCATTAGACATATTCTAGGAGATAAAAATCAAGTCATTCAAGAGGAATCTCTTAAATGAATCTCATAAGTAAAGGATATTTTCTTTTGACTATGGCACACAAGGGAACATTTTTTCATGATGTATTTTGCGGGATAAACAGATGTAATGCAAAAAGCATAACCCCTCCACCTGGCAGCTGTTTTTCTTCCTTGTTATGACTTAAGGATATTTTATATTCAGCAAATCTCCCTTCTGCTGTTTCTCTCTTCTTCCACCTTCTCTCCCTCCTACCGAATCTGAGATAAAGGTTCAGAAAATGTGCCCTCGTTTGACATAATGGAAGGGGAACAAGGGTTTATTAAAGTTTTCCCTGGTTTCTCCTGATGGGAAATAAAGATTTTGTATTTTGTCTAAATGGGAATATGACTGGTTTTCTATGTAGAAAATATTTCTGGCCAAGTGGATACTCCCTATGTTATCGATCTTTTAATTTATTCTCACTCCCTATGACACCTCAAAATCTATATCTTAAGCAACTTTGTCCAGAGTTTCCAAATTCAAACACAGTGGTGTGCTTACTAAATGTTGAAATAATGAAAGATAAGTATTTTTATAAAGAAAGAAGCAGTAAATCGGGTTGACCCTGGGAGGGCTACCAAGTTCTCGCTGCTAGACATCAGGCATCCCTCAGACCTCCCACAGAGGCACCTCCTATGAGGTTGCTTTCCATTTAGTGCTCCCCATACTTGGTAACACTCCCAGACTTGCCATTCCCATCTATGGAGCCGGGGCCTTTCCTTCCAGAGGCTCCCAGTCTAGTGCAAACCAGTGAACAGGTGATCGTAATGCAGTGTGTTGAGTGTCTTGACTGAAGAAAGCATAGATTGCTCTGGAAGGGCACTGACATTTGAGGGGAGTGGTGGGTAATAGGAGGGCTCCCAACGGGAGGTGACTCCTGAAGTATTCAGGTAGGGAGAGGAGAGAAGGGGAGGGAGAAATTAGGATGACCATAGATAGAAAACTGTGAAACGGTATGGTTAGTGTAAGGCCAAGAGATGAAAGTAATTTGATGTACCAGGAACATAAAGTTTGCTGTGAAAGTAGAAGATATAGACAAGGACTAGATCTCAGAGATTTTTCTTAGACAAGGGCCATGAGCACTTCTCTAGGGCATCCTTAGGGTCAGCAGACCTTGTCTGATTATTGTCACATGCATACTCAGGCAGCCTGAGTGTCTAATCTCTCTAGGCCTGCTCCACCAAGGCCCTAACATAGTTAGGGGTCACCCAGCTCAAGCTACTGTTTTTAGTTGTCTCGTTCCCACTCCATCCTTATGGGACCTCCCATGTTCATTCATGCAGGACATCAGCAGAATTAGTAACAGGGATGAATTAAATGGTTGGTATTGTAAATCCCAAGATAGCCTGGCACGGGAGATCCTGTTGGAAGCAGGTCTTTCAAGCCTCTCAAACAAGCCTTTTGTCTTAGACCTTAAATGTGACTGTTACTCCAGCTCCCCATAGAACTGGTGCCTTACAAGGAGGATGAAGTTTTAGTTTAAGTCATGAGGCTGAGAGTGCCTCAGTTGCATGACTTGAATATTTCTTGTCATTAGTAGCATAAAGTAATTGTGCCTGGTCTGTTCCCCTTCTATTAACACAACAGTTGCTAATTTTGTTAGAAAAAGTGTGAGGCAGAAATCTGAGGAGAGGGCTCTATTTTAGAAACACTAGTGCTGATCAGTGGTGATTTTACAAATGTTTCCAATTGTAGTGTCAAACGCGCTATTTCTCTGCCTGGCACAAGCTGATTCTTGAAAACAAGATTAAGCTGGGGAAAGCTGGAACTCTTTCCGACTGGAAGTTTCAACTGAAGATCCTGAAGGCCTGGAGAGACTACACGAGATCTCGGAGGCTGGAGCGGGAGACACAAGCCATGGAGCATGAGCTCAGGGAAGAAAACAGGTACCATTATTTACGATGAAAGCCCTTCTAGTGCATTTATCTAGGACAACTTTCCTCTTGATGAATCCAGAAATGAATTCTCAAACTCTGTTCTCTGGAGTCATCTCACCTGCTTATAAAATGTGCTAACAATTGTTTTCCGTTGCATCCCAAACTAGAAAAATTTAACTGAAAAGTATAAGCAGAAAAATCTATAATAATAAAAGTGTAATATGCTAATTAGACCAGACAGGCGAACGACCTTCCGGCCATTATTCAGGATGTCCTTCTGGACGCAGCCATGGTGGCGAGGGCTGAGGCAGAGGCAGTTAGGGGTGATCAAGCAGGCAGGCAGAAATGGTTAGGGGCGATCAGGCTGGCAGGCAGAGTGGTTAGGGGTGATCAGACAGACAGGCAGGTGAGCGGTTAGGAGCCAGCGGTCCCGGATTGCGAGAGGGTGCAGGCCAGCCTGAGGGACACCCCCATGCACGAATTTCGTGCACCAGGCCTCTAGTTACTTAATAAAAATATACTAATGTGCATGCTTTCCTTTTTTAAAGGAAGCAGGTATCATGCTTTTTCCCTTGTCCTCAGATGTAGCAGCATTTCACTTGCACTGTTTTACAATTCAAAAGACAGAGTTTGGTTTATAAGCCAGTAATTCACATTGGTAGAAATCACTATCTGCACATAGAATATTAATTAGGGACACCGAGAACATCCATCTGGGAGGACAGACCTGCCAAGAGTGATGCCTCCCATTCCCCCATCTTTTGTTCTTCATCTTGTGTAGAGGTTTTGACACCTTTTTATCAACTTCCTCTTATTCTTGTGAATGACAAAATTTGTCTTCAAGTAAAACTTTCTTTGCTCCATCTTCTTAAATACATTTTGTTCTTTTCATTTCCAAGTTTAACTTTCCATTCTTGAACCAAAATCACATATGTAGAAGGAACAATTTGTTGATTTGGGAGAGGGCAGTTCATGTTTTTATATTTGCTCACTTCTCTACCAACAATCCTGTTATTCATTTAGGGTGAGAAACTAAAGGGATGGTATATGAAAGCGTTGGGCATTGTTATGCAGAAGGGAAGGACACCCCTTAGAGTTGTACAACCATGTGACAACATTAGGCCCTGGGAAGGATCTGTAGGAGACTGATGCATGGCTCCTTGTCCTCAAAGAACTCACAATTTTGTGGGGAAAACAAGATCTAGAAACAGTAGAGCTATTGAATAGCATTATAAACTGTGTAAAGCATCCCCTCTGATAAGACCTTAGCAGAGGGAAGTGTCGCTATAACTAAGGAGACTGCTACAGAGTGCCAGGAAAGGTTTTATCAAGAAGATGGGTCATGAGCTGGGCTCTGTACAGTCAGTAGGATGCTCCTAAGTGGAAATGGGGAGACTGGGTTCGATTCCGGTCAAGGGCATGTACCTTGGTTGTGGGCACATCCTCAGTACGGGGTGTGCAGGAGGCAGCTGATCGATGTTTCTGTCTCATCGATGTTTCTGGCTTTCTATCCCTCTCCCTTCCTCTCTGTAAAAAATCAATAAAATATATTTAAAAAAAGAAGAAGAAGATGGGTCATGAGCTGGGCTCTGCACAGTAAGTAGGATGCTCCTAAGTGGAAATGGGGAGACGAGGTGATGGCATGGAGTGTAGCCATTCATATTGGCTGGAGATCATTAAGCATGTGGTTGTAAAGTTCATCAACTTGCAAAAGGCCTTGAATGCCAGGACAAGGAGTTTAAGTATTTTTTTTTTGTAAATAGAGGCAAATTCTTGAAGGTTTTTAAGCAAGAGGGGGGCCTAGTCAATTTTACTTTCTACAGTATGCTATAGAAAATTTTCATTAAAATAGTCAACATAGAGAACTCTTTCATAATTCATTTCTAAATTCTCAGGACCTAGTGATTGATATAAGGGATTAAGTCTAACTGAAATAGGAATAGCTGGAAATGGATTTGTTGGATAAAGAAAGGAAACTGGATGTGTTATAAAAGGGAAGCAACATGAGTAAGGGCATAAAGGAGTAGAAACTGAGATGTTAAAGTTAAAAGTGGCTTGTGAAGTTTATATGCCAGAAGACACCTGTAGAAAAAAAATCTAAAGAACTTGAGATTCCACTGCAATTAAACTTTAAATATAAAAACACACCACTGCCCTAACCGGTTTGGCTCAGTGGATAGAGCGTCGGCTGCGGACTCAGGG